ATCAATCCAACAGTTTTTTTACCATTTTAAACGTTATTTTTAATGGAGACTCATATTTAAGTAGATATTCCGTTTACTCTATACTGTTTAATAAATAAACCAAGCGTCTACTCAAATATGAGTATCCACTAAAAATATAGTTAAAAGTGATTATATATATATATATATATATATAGAGTGAGAGAGAGAGAGAGAGAGAAATTCATTCTAATACAAATAAAAGTTGTCACTTAGCTGATAGATATTATATTCAGCACCTCAACTCCGGAGTTTCGTAGACGAACTTTTTCGTAATTGTTCGGTCCACTCGTCAGGAGGCTTCAGCGATTATATATACATATGAATATATGAATGAGAAATATGAGAGACAAATTCGAATCCCAGTCGAGTTCATTACATTTATTTACATACGCACACCTTTGTGAAAGATATGAATCCGTCTCTTAGTCTTCTCCTAGCTATGGGCTTAAATAGTAGGGAGAACTTAACTCTTTAGCCTTGGTTGGCAACCAGTCTTGAAGAAAAACAACTCTGAATTCTAAAACCTGAGGAGGGTCGTTTGGAGACCTTTTGTCACGCTATGCGCACCCGTTCTCTTATATCGGTTCTGAGTGGTTGGTTTTTTGCACAACCCTTCACCACTATATTTCAAATCATGTGTGATTAGTCTGGCTGTTCGTCTGCTCACTTCTTAGAGAGCTACTGGAGCCTCACCCTCGAAGTGAGTCCACAACCCACTGATCTATGACGTTTAAAAAGTAATTAGAAATAATGATGGATTAAAGTAAACATATTTGTAAAGCCGTTAATTTCTTAGAAATTATTTTGTTTACATTCCGCATACGAAAATAAAGTTCTGTTAGAGCGGATATGAATTTTCAAAAATGGATTTTTCTTAAAAGGTTAATAAATGAACCTCATGGGCTGTGAAGCTCTCTGTAGCCTAACCTTCTAAAGCACGTCGGATCAGACTGTGGTCTCCTCTAGAAACAGCGAGACAGAATCAAAGCCTACCAAGACTCGAATGCACAGGCCGGTAGATGTAATTCACATTGTTCAAAAAAAAAAAAAAGGAGGGCGTTCACTCAAACATGTGTAACCAAATATATAACGTTTAGAAAGTAATAAGAAAATGTGGGAGGGACATCGAAAGCGTGCATACCGTCAATTTCAAGCCTCGAGCGATTTTGAAGCGTTAAATTGGCAAAGTAGCAAATAAATGCAATGATTTCTATGTCCAAAAAATTGTTTATAATTCTGTAATAACGCTTTGTCTCCGATATTAAGCGCTCTCTTCCCAACCCATTAAGATTTATTTTAAAACAATTCTAAGGGAGAGAGTCTTCTTTTTAAATCGAAATAAAAATGTGTATAAATGAATTTAACAATAACAATTTAACAAGAGTTTACACAGGACATTTCAACGAATGAAAACAAAATATTCGTCCAAAGGCGAGATACCTTAGGATCCACATATAACTACACAAACTAATGATCATATTTTTAACCAGAGAAAAATTGCAACACCTACACCATTACTGACAGAGCAGCTCGTTGTGGACTGCCTCGTGACTAAAATTGCTACTTATTTCCTAGTACCTTTACACTTGTTACTTGTACTAAAGAAGCACTAGCCCAAGACTTCAAATGTTGATTTTCTAGGCCGGCAAGTGTGACGTTTTTAAAATCATCTTAAAATACACTCACTTCGTTTGGTTTTACGAAGCATGAAAACAAAGGAAAGACTATTTAGTGGCTGGGACCGGTGTTCCAGTGCAGGTATAAAAAAAGGGGGGGTTTCTAGCTAGATTAGGAAGTTCTTCTTAAATCGCTTTACTTTGACTAACATAAAAAATCCCTTTCACAAATTTACTCCTGTCCTCCTGAGTATCCACATTTTTGTTAATGTTGTGTCTGCTGATCTCAAACTTAATTCCTTTTTTTTTTAGCAACAAATTCATTAATTTCTCGCTCTTAAAAATTAAACATTTCCTCGCCACTTCAGCCAAATGGATGCAGAAAGAGCTTGTAAATGACGGACCAGGGGTTGAGGCAATTTAAGACTAAGAGGAGGAAGGATACCAAAAAATATTCAGTAACCGGCCGATTTATCAACACGGTTTATTGCTGTTTAAAAACGGCCACACAACTACTTGTTACAATTACTTTTTTTTTTATTACTAGCTTTGCTAGTCATTAAAAATAACTACTACTTGTTTTAAAAACAAAAACAAAAACCTCCGGATATTTAGATCTCCGGTTTTTATTTTATTTTTTTAATTTTTAAGCTGTTTTATTTATTTTTTTTTAATGATTTTTTTTTTTCTCCAGAATCTCACAATTTTTTAAGATTTTCTTTAAAAATTAATTCAAAATAAAATCATAAAAAAAAAAAAAAAATCAGTGTAATTTTTTCCGTATTATCAGATTTGCAACGAAAAAAAATCGTATTTAAAATCGTTAATTCAGTTTTTATGATTCATTTATGATTAAATAAAGACCGAAATTGTCAATGAATGTATTTTTAATAACAGATTTTTTTATGTTTGTTGGTTATATCAGAAAGACCTCGAGTGAAGTAGATATCATAAAAATAAAATGTTACCATAAATCCCATTACCAACCTTCCATTTTCCTCACTGTGGTGGAATTATTTGTAGTTGTGAGGAAGGAAGGAAGGCGTGTCGAAGTTAAAGTAGACACAGCTGAGAGTGTGAGGGTCGAGAAAAATATGGATCGAACACACAGACACAATTCTTTTGGATTCAATCTGGTGAGAGAAATAAAAAGATGCCTTTTTTTTCTTTTCTTTTTTTTCTCACTCTGATTACTTTTCTTTTCTTTTTTTTAAATATTTATTGAATTTGCTTTCTTTACAAATTAAATAAATAAAAATATAAAATAAAACAAATTTCGAAAATATTTTTCTTTGCTGTTGTATAAAAAATAAAAATAAATAATCAATTAAAAAATGAAAATAAAAAATCGTTCGTTTAAAAAATTGACCAGAATGAAGTGATTTTTCTGTACGTCTCTGGTGAATTAAACGATAATCACGTAACAAATCGCATATCGATTATTATTATTTACAATGTGCGAAATTGTAATTTAAAAACATAACTAAAAAGTAAAAACAAAAATCATTCTATAATGAATGGAAAATCCATTGAAATTTCTATTTTGAAATAGCTAAAAAATTTGAATTTTTAAAAAAACGACTATCATTTGTTGTCTAAAAAAAGTTATATATTTTTTTTATGGATAGTACACTTGTTCACAGCATGATAAATGGCGATGAATTACTTTTTTTCTTGGTAAGGAAATAAAAAGGGGAGAAAGAGAGGAGAAAGAGAGGAGGAGAAAGAGAAAGAGAGGAGGAGGAAAGAAAGAGAGGAGGAGGAAAGAAAGAGAGAAAAAGAGAACGAACGAACGAATGAACACAGTCATAAAGAAATGATATTGACCTCCCTTCAATATATTTTTATTTCATGAAATTGTTGCTCTCGTCTATTTTTTTTAAAGTTAATAAAAAAATGTATGTTTTAATTTGTTTGTTTTTAGATATTCTTCCAGATTGACCGAAAGAAGTGGAGACATTTCCTTTCTTTCTTTCACCCGGTGGAAAACTTAAATGGTGTCGTCCTAACGAGCCTAGAGAAGTTTTTAACATCAGTCTTTCTTTACTCTTTATTATTGAGCCAACTGTGAAATGTGCAGCTAATCGTAAAATATAGGACAGGCAAAAAATATTAGCCGGCTTTAAAAACATACAGTCATTGAAATGGGTCATTTGTAGGACCGGGGAGTTTTCAAATTGGATTGATTTTTTTTTTTTTTTTTAAACCAACCTTAACCTTGAGATTTGAGTTGACAATACCGAATAGGAAATAAATGGAAAGAAAAACTGGCTCACTATTGTTTAAAAATTTTGAACAGGTATCTGATGATCGGTTCATAAGCATCATGATTATTTTTAAATAATTAATTTAATCAATGTATTACTTACGATAACGAGATAAATAATTAAAAAAAATCTTTTTGCGTGTGTGCTTGCTTAAAAACAGAACTTGTACGCTGGGATTTCAATTGTTGATAAGTCAGGTTTGCATTCCCACAGGCAAGAAAAATAAAAAAAACATTAATGACACTTTTTTTTTTTTTTTTTTTGCGGTATCTGTGGGAATGGTGGGTTGAGATATACACGTGAATAAATGAGGTCTGTGGAGAGAAGTATTTGTTGTTATGTCTTTTGTGGATATCAATGACTATTTCTATTTAAATACAACAGTGATGGTGCGTTGCGTAAATAAGACCAGAGTGCTAAGAATCAATGAAGTGAAGTGAATGACTAAGACAAAAATTGGTGTGTGGATAGCAACAGAAGACCACATTATCAACTATTTATATTTTTACTTATTAATAAATAAAGAAAGGTGAAACGGTTTTTTATTGACTAAAAATGACTAGAACATTAACAGAGAAATAAATGTAATTTTAGTTGGGTTCTCAAGATCAGTAATAGTATTAATTGCGAATAAACTCATTTTAAAAAGGTTTGTGTGTAGATAAAGGAAAGAGAGCGTGTTTAATCGGATGTTGGGGTGCACGAATTTAAAACCAATAAGAAGAAAGAGAAATAGAAGAGAAAAAAATGGGTCATGGTTTGGTCCAAGGGAAATAACTCGTGTCTCCATAGCAGCAGTCTATTTTTGAACGTTTATTACAAAGTTAGCATGTGTTTTAATAAGAAATAATTAAGAATTGCAAATAATTCGAGTTTATTATTGATGGAATATTTATTACGATCATAAACATAATTTAATAAGTTTTGAAAAAGACGAGCTGGAGGCTTTAAAAATAAAAATAAAAAAGAGAGAGAAAAGTGGTGGTGGTGGTGGTATAAGAATGTCTAGGTAAGTGTAGGATGGAGGGTTCGAATTTAGTTAAAGGGCAAGGACAAGCAGAGTGGGAGGATGTCAAGAGGCGGAGTGACAAAGAAGTCAGGTGATTATGTAGCAAGCAGAAGTCGTTGGTAGGAGAAAGTTGAATTGAGGGAAAAAGGAAAAGAAGCTATTAAGAGAAGTGCGAGTAAAAAAAAAGAGAGGCAAATAGCAAAAAAAAGGCAATGAGGCTAAGAAAAAGAAAGGTTGCCAAATGAAAAAGAAGAGTAAAGACCGATTTATGACGAAAAAGTCCTGTTAAAAAAAAACAAAAAAACTGAATATTCAATGTATTGTAAAAAAAATAAAAACATTACTGACGGCAGAGGTTCAAATAAAAATAATTAGTCTTAAAAATTAAATTAACTTTAGAAACAAAACTTAAAAAGTTTTTACGGTGGAAAATTGCCTTGATTATTAAAGATTTTTCTGAATAATCATTTTTCTTTTTCTGTTAATCAGCAATACATTCCTGTACACATTGTTTAACTAAAAATACGACGATTGAAATATGCGGCAGACAAAAAAAAGAAAAAGAAAGCGGTGATAAGTATTATTATTGAAGACTTTTTTTTTCACCTCAAACTCGTAAAATTCCCGATATTAATAATAATTCAATACTTCTTTAAAAATAAATAAATAAATAAAGTTTCAATTATTGTTTTTAATTTTAACTTTTTTTAAAATAAAGTCATCATAAAATATTTCCCCATAAAATAACTAACAGCTGATAAAAACAGCTAACGCGAAAAGCAAGTTTTACTTTTAAAACAAATAAAAACCGCCCAAATGTTATCAATGGACAAAAATTAAACCAACTAACAAAAGAAAAAAAAAAAAAAAATTGCTAAACAAGAAGTCACGTGACGTAACCCATTTTCACTTGTGGGGGAAAAGTTGTGAGGGGGAGCTATCTATCAAAATGTTTAAGTATTTCTTTCCATCTTACTATCGAATTTATCAGTAATTATTTATTTTTTATCACTTCGAATAAAAATGATTTTCATGCACATTGACATATAAATGGGTCATTCAAAGCTAAGGGAGGCAAATAAAAGCAGTCACCCAATTTGTTCCAATTCCATTCATTCATTTGTGCAGACAAAAAGACAAAGAATTATTTTACAGTGTAACCCGGATATAAGAGACCCTGATATAAGAGAAACCCGGATATAAGAGAGATTTTCTCTGGTCCCAAATTAGAGCCTGTGTTAAAATAGACCAAACCCGGATATAAGAGACTTCTTCTCCGGTCCCGACAACTCTCTTATATCCGGGTTACACTGTATATATTATTCTGGCATTAGGTAAAAAGTCGTCAACATAAAAAGCAGAAATAATTTCCATACATCTAAAACACAAGTGCATGCATGACACGTGCTTCGAGAGAGAAAAAAGTGTATCTGCTTCTTTGGGGTGTGCGACAAGCCCTATCCTAAAAAAATAAAAAAATGCTTAAAAAAAAAAAAAAAAAAAACCCAAAAAAACCCTTGAGTAACAAAAAGCAAATTAACTTTTTTTTTTTTAATCATAATTTTTATTGATTATACTTGATTTATTAATTATCTCAGATATCAGTAACTTCGTAAGTTCAGTAACCCCCCTTTTTTTCATTAATCTTCTGTACAATTTTCTTTTTTAACTTCATAAGACTTCCAAACAAAAGCACGTATAAGCTGAAGCGAAGCACAAACTTTTTCTTTAAGTAAAAAGGTCTCAACCGTATATAAAAAAAGCAAAACTGGAATTATTTACAGAAATTAACTGTTATATTTTCTTTGATACCCAAATGGTGCTACCCACATCAACCTTGTATCACACATCCTGCCTTTTAATGGGGAGGCATCGTAAATGGCATTTACGGTGCTTACATATCATCACATTAGAATCGAAAGAGTAAATTGTACGAAGATTACTTTTTTTTTTACTTCATCGCGTAACACAAACTGGAATGTTTCTGTAAGGCACACATTTTTATCCCAATCAGATTGGACACAAGGATGGAGAACCCAGTAGGGAATCGAATTCACTACTCAGTTGTATTGGTCAACAACACTAGTTCGATAACCATTTAAGTTACTTCACATGATGTACCCATCCTAATCAGACAGTCTTTCTGAGAAAAATTTTAAAAAATTGGTGTTTAGTTTGAGCCAAATCATCCTCACCCCATATTGATCATTTTGATTTTTTATTCATTTTAGATGAAAACTTTGAAAATTTTCAATGTATTTCAGTGAAATATTCATTTAACTAAAAATTATAGCAGAGATGAATAAAAAAAAAAAGGTGCCAGTTTGATTTAAAAAAACCCTTCAGAATGGTATATTTTCTTTGGTTTTCTATCTGATAAATAATGAATTTATTAAACAAGGACACATGGCACAGTGGATGAAGGCGTTAGTTAGATCCAGTGACAGGACCGAAAGAGTGTGAGTTCAATACCCGGTTAAGGCAGTGGAGAACTTGGAGAGGGGAATTAACAGGAGATAACTGACATTCATTAAAACATGGCAAAAAACTAGAACAGTCTACCCCAGTGAGCGAAATAAAGGATTCAGTTCGACATTCCAACCACCCAAATGAAGAAATGGAGCAATAACAGCCAAAACGTTGTTTCAGTGACAAAAATGAGGACAATAGTCCGAATAGTGTAAATAAATTCATTTTTATTTTACAAATTCTAAGTTTTATTTATTATTATTCACAATTATTTTATACCTGACTGAAATGAACTAAACTTGAACTTGTTTGCTTTTAAATGAATCCTTTTAGCTTTTAAACATGTCATTTAAAAAAAAAATTGAGCTTCTTGATTCTGCTTATTGGCAGAATACAGCGGCCACTCTTATTTTTATGGGTTGGACAGGTCAGACTAACATGGTTTTATTTTTCGGTTCATCCCTTCCTCGTTCATTTCATGATATATAAATCATGGGTGTTTTAGTAGGACCTCGTCGAATATTGTAGTATTATGGTAGATGTTGGATCGAATGGAGAAACATAAGTTCTTGTGATGATTGATGAAAATAATTAGAATGAATGAGTCGCATCAGATTAGCTCGGTTTATAGTCAATGTTCACCAGACTTTTCTCTACTTCTCTTTTTCGGCCTTGTGCCACATTAACATGTAAATGTTAAAAATAAACATATTTTATTCAGCTGTTTTCATGCATTTTTTGTCATTTAAGTAACTTAGATCAGAAAAAATATTTCATGATGTTATTGTAGCTTAATTTTAAAAATCTATGCCAATTTCTTTTCTTAAATTTGGCATGTAATTATAGAAACATGCGTGTGTGAAATAAAACTTAAGTTAGGTCTGAGTGTTGCGTGCATTTCGTAATAATTCCATAAAGAAAGTATGAATCTCTATTATCCTAACTATGGGTTAAAAATCACAGTTTTACTTTTATGGCTTATGGCAGCTAGTTTAGGAGAAAGGCAACGAGAAACCATTCTTTCCCTACAAGTCATGACAATACACAGAAAATAAACTAAAGTTTAATAAACTAAGGAATTTGTGCTGAGCTATTATCAACTACATCCTAAAAATAGCAAAATTTAAATAAAGTACCTTGTATCTTCAGGACGTAGATAGCTCGCCACACGGAACCTTTTTTTTATTTAAATAAATAAATTAAATCACATTGCGCTTGGTAGTTGTGTTACACTTCAGTTTTATATCCGCCTCCGAGAAAAAGAAAGTGAAAAAACAAAAAAAAAACAAAAAAAAAAACTGATGGAAAATCTTTTGAACAAATTTTGAAAATATCGAATATCTTTTTTTTTTAATGGGAAAATCTCATCTGATGATTAAAAATGTATGATTAGAATATGTCAGGTAAATACTTTTCTTAAGCAAGAACAACTTTAATTGGCGTGCGTTGTCGAAAAGTTTTTTTGTTTTTTTTTTTCCACCCGAGTGATTTTTTTTTGGTCTGAACCTCAGTTACATTACACCTTAGTATTTGTGGAAGTCATTTTTAGCCTTTCGTTAACATTTTTAAAATTAAACACTTAAAAAAAGGTTACTTTCCAACTTTCTTGAGTGTTTGTTATAATTTCAAGTACAATGAACACAAGTGCGATATGATCGATAAGAAATAAGTGGGTGCATATGTTGTGATAAAAATTATGAATACTGGTAAAAAAAAAAAAAAAAAGAAAAGCAACTAGATCATAAGGTTTTACTGTTTTTAGCAGTTATTTATTTTCATTTTTCCACGATTGCAAGAAAAAAAAGAAAAGGAAAAAAAAGAAGAAAATAGTTAGGACAGGAGCTAATTCTTAGTCTGTACAAAGTTGGTAAACACTGATTATTACCATAAGTCAAAAATTTTCAATTTTCAACTTGAAAAGTTAGAAAAAACGAATTGAAACTGCGGGTTTAAAAAAAAACTAACAAACAATGAAAAACACTAAAAAATAACAAAAAAAAACAACAAAAAAAAACAAAAACAAAAAACAGGCAAACAAACAACGGGAAAAGAAACTGACAATCCTCTTTGCCATTTGATTTTTTGTATTTTCTTTTAATCTTAGTTATACGGTTTTAAACACCATTCTACACGGCATCCATTGAGTTAAAAAACATACGCATACAATATAGAAAATATTTTTTAAATATAAGATTTCATTTAATAAACGATATATTTTCCGAGCATTTTTTTTTTATTTTTGTCGACAATACAGTTTGCGGCGGAAAGTAATCACGTGACAATCACACCCTCCAGACTTGAGAGAATTGGCTGGGAATTCCGAATAAATAAGCCTTGCTAAAAATCTTCTCAAAGACTTTGAAGTTTGAACTGATGATGTATGATGATGATGATAATATTCCAAGTTCATTTTATGCACTGCAGTAATTATTTTTTACTTACATGTTGATACTCAGCAAAAAATGGTAAACTCCTAGAGTAGACTCAATTTTTTCAATAAGAACGTAATTTTTTGTAAGCATGAGAAGGCAAAGTTATATAAAATAAAAAGAAAGAAAGAAAATGGCAACTACTTTTCTTTTTGTTTGAGTTTCTGTTAAAAAAATTAAAAAAATGTTATTGCATTGCGTTCACCAGACACACTCGATTTGATTCGTACATATTCCGCAAAAATCAAACAATGAAGGAAAGAAAAGACGAAAAGAAAGAAAGGAAAGAAAAGACGAAAAGAAAGAAAAGACGAAAAGAAAGAAAGGAAAGAAAAGACGAAAAGAAAGAAAGGAAAGAAAAGACGAAAAGAAAGAAAAGACGAAAAGAAAGAAAAGACGAAAAGAAAGAAAAGACGAAAAGAAAGAAAGGAAAGAAAAGACGAAAAGAAAGAAAAGGAAAGAAAGACGAAAGGAAAGAAAAAAGACAGAGAAAAAGAAAAAGATTCAAGAAAGACGAAAAGAAAGAAAGACGAAAAGAAAGAAAGACGAAAAGAAAGAAAGACGAAAAGAAAGAAAGACGAAAAGAAAGAAAGGAAAGAAAGACGAAAGGAAAGAAAGACGAAAAGAAAGAAAGACGAAAAGAAAGAAAGGAAAGAAATAAAGGGATGAAATAAAGGAAAGAAAGAAAGGGAGAAAGAAAAGAAAAGGTAGAGAAATAAATGAAAGAAAAAAGAAAAAAGAAATGAAAGAAAGGAAATAAAGAAAGAAAATTTTCTAAAAATATTTTGGCTAATGCTTTTTAAGACCAGTGGGCGTGTTTGATGGCGGCTAATTAACTTTAAACAAAAAAACTCTAAAACAATACTTTTTTTTTGCTTCTGGCCAAATGGAAGAGTTACAGTTGCGCACAAAAGTATTCAACAACTTCATTAATTTATTTATTTTTCCTGATTAATCATTCTAAATTTCATTTGATGACGTCTATCTACTCGACCAGTATTAATAAAACAATTTAACTGCTAATAAATAAGAGAGAAATTGAATTATTTTATTTCCAGAATAAATTAACAATTTATAGCCGTTGCGTTTGACTCCCAGCATTAAATGTAGTAAAAAAAGAAAACTGTGCTCTAGTCTTATACCCAGTAATGTTGTAAGTAAAAATACTTAACATCACTTCAGAATGCTGATTTAAATTAAATTTATTTTACAAAATAAACATTCATTCATTTCTGAAATTATTACAAAAGCTCAAAAAATATTTAGAGAACCTGGAAAAGAAATTAATTAATCCAAGAGCCACAAGAAAATTTTCAAATGGACTGATATTGTCTTCTTATCCATCATTCATAAATGAACTGTTAAACATAATGCTTACAAGATCAGTGTGTGTGTATGTGTGGTGTATCTCACATACACATGAGGTCATGATAAAAGGTTATCAGCATAACCCACTTCTCAAAATTTGACCAAACATCAGAATTTGCTTTGGTCAAACCAAAAAAAATTTTCAATACCACCTCATATACCAATGCAAATAAATATTTAAAATATTAACAACAAATTTAATAACAGAAAAAAAATAATGCCATAACTTCAACTTTTGAGTAGACAAAAAAAAGAAAAGAAAATAAGTAATATTTTCATGTAGGTAAATCTATCTTTATGGAATAAAAACCATATTTAATTAACTATAAAAATTTACAGTGATTATTATTTTAATAAGCTAGAAGGCTTATTTCATTGATTATAATTATTTTAATAAGCCAAATGTTGCTAATAGATAAATATTTTAATAAATTAGAACACTCTCCCATGGTGTTACTCAGTTGGCAATGAGACAACATTGAGTGAACTTGTATACTGTGTGACAAAAACATTCACAAAGAAGATGAAAGCATTTTCTTTAAAACTTGTATTATGCATTTTTTTGTTTTTTTTGTAGAGTATTTCATCCATCAAATCTGTCAGCCGTGCAACAACCCAAATTTGGCTCTTGGCTACTTCTGACTTTTCTGCAAAGATTACAAAAAAAAAATCTATATTGAAACAGGATTAAGGAGAATGTAGCAAGGTGCAAAGAGGATGTTGCTGAGTGTTCTTAAAAAATGATAAGCATATAAGATTCCAAGGAGGGTACTTTCAGAGAGAGTAAGGTGCCATTATCATAGGGAGGTTTGTTTTTTAATTATCATAGGGAGGTTTGTTTTTTGTTTTGTTTTTTAAATATTAGTAGCTGGATATTTTCCAGACAGACATGCATGCATAAATACATACATATATGAAGATTTATTATTGTACTAGAATTTTTTTGAAATCCTCACAGTATTTAGCATTGCTGAAGTTATCTTTATCAATTTTTATTGCGATTTACAAACTCTACATTTCATTCAATTTCACAAACCTATCAATGAAGTTTGTATAAGCTGATTTATTTGGAAAAATATTTTGCCAAAACCCTACTTCACAGTTTAATAATTTATTTAATTTTATAGGAATTCATGGTAAACAATATTTTTAAAGAAAATTTATTTTTTTCCTTTTCAAAAGCAAAGAATAAATTCTTAGGATTTCTTACTCTTGGGCATGCAACATACAACTGGTCACGTGTAAATATTTCTTTTAATTTTTCCAAAAGAATTAAAACTTATTGTACTAAGCTATGTACCCTAGTAAAACCAATTGTACTCTGAACCCAATTATTTGTTTGCACTTCCCCCAAAATTTGGTTTTGATCAGTCAATGTATGGCTATTTTAGAGGGTATGATGGACACACTAGCAGAAATCACAGAATTTTATATATAGATAGATGTTTGTCATATGGTAATGAAAATCAGGTTACTCTCTTTCCAAGTAGAATGAATATCAGTATGAAAGTGCAGAGTGTTTACATCCATTGGCTAACAATCCACCTGACTACCAACATAGCATTTGTTAGTACAGCCACACCCTTTGACAATCAGCAGAATATTAAACTCATTGGATAGATGATAGGCCTCTTAGTTCCAGGAAGTAAGAGGCCTAGCATCTATCCAAAGGCTAATGTGAAAATAGTTCATACTACTCACTGGTCTGTTGAACAGGAGGAAAGGGTTTATCATTTCCTTCCAGTTTAGGAGGGGGTTGTTCTTACTTCGAAAATTCACATTAAAAGTAACGCTATGGTGTAACTCTTGCAATCAAGTGGCATAATCATATCACTTCGGGTGGATTTATTAAAAAAAAATATATACAATGCACTGAATGGTGTACATCCCATAACCCATGAAGCCCATAGAGGCAGCTGATATTTACCTTTGACATCACAGTGAGTCAAGATGTGACACAAAGTCACTGTTTTAACATGGGTAATATGAGTGTTTCCACATGGGCCACTAGTCATATATATATATATATATATTACACACACACACACGTAAATATATAAATATACATATATGCACATATGTATATAGATATATATATATATATATATATATATATATATATATATATATATATATATATATATATATATATATATATATATACACGTGTGTGTGTATATATATATATATATATATATATATACATATATACATACATATACATATACACACATATATATATATATATTAACTGGTGCAATTATCAGTCATTTTTTATAGGCAAGATATTTGTTCATAAAAATTGCTGTTTTGTTTACGTATTTTTAATGAAAATATTTTATTTTCAGGCTGTAAAAATGCATGTTAATAATCATACACTACAATAATCATTTAAGAATGTTATTGTTGAATTGTTATGTTTTTTTTTTCTTGATAAATACTGTTTAAAAACGCCTGATAATTATGCACCAACCCAAAATATATATATATATATATATTATTAATATTTATTATTATTATTATTATCATCAGTTTGTAATAGTGACAATCACAATGCAGTGATGATGGTTTCCCTGCTTAAAATAACTGGACAATTTCAATGTATCTATTTTGAATTTTCCCACCCTGTTTTTTTAACTTGTCAAGTACCAGAAAAAAAAATCTTTTCTGGGTCACCCTGTTGACTTGTTTAATTCCCTCTTTTATTTATTTCCCCCTCTCACTCTCTTTCCCTTTTCCCTCTCCATGTCCATCTATATTTCCCCTTCTCCCTAAAAATACCTTATATTGAAATCTTTCTCCCGTTTTTTCTTTCCCCTTTTAATACCGGTTTCTTTTTTCTCTTTCCTCTCGTTTCTTTCTTTTTTCTTCTTTTCCATTTCCTTGTGCCTGAATAAATTGAACTACATTTATTTATGTAAAACTGGTTTGAGGCACACAAAATAAATTGTAACCTGACCTGATGGATTTTAAGGATTCTGTATTCATTATTATATTGTTCTGCTCTTACATTGAGCTCTCTTTGGATTTATATCCTCCTTGGAATTATCCCTACTAATCATCAAGTTATATTATACAACAAAAATTCTCAAATTGCCATATTAGCTAAAAACACACTCACTTAAATTTTCAAAAAAATTCAACCTTAGCATTGCAACTGCACGCTCTAAAAGTTTGTATCTGTTATCAATGACACATTTAAAAAAAAAATATTTTGATTTGAATTTTTTCATCTTGGATGCTACCTGAATTTTATCAAAAACAAAATAATGTCCATGTTGAAGATGACTGAATGTACAGTCGAAAGTACTTGCATATTTAAGAAAGACTATACAGCTTATAAGTTTAAAAAACAAGGATCGTAACATTCATCGAATGATTAGTAGGTTAATGCATCTTTAAAATTTTGTTAGTGAAGGGATTTCACCATTTTATATTAACTTTACTAATTTAATTTTGTATGAATGATTCATTGTAATATAAATTGAACTGCACCACATATTTGATTATATATATATATATATATATATATATACACACACATACACATACAGACAGACACACACAATTTTTAAATTCAACCAACAAAGCCAATTTATATTTTTCCCATTTTAGATTAAGTTGTACATCAGGATCATAATTGTGGAGAATCTAAAGTTCATTTGTGTTGAAGTACTTTCGACTCTCTCAGTTATTATCAAGAACTGTATGTTGTCAGTTCTATAGAGAAATAATTGAAACAATCAAAAGTACTTAAACAAAATATGAACTTTGAACAGTTGATCTACAATTTTGATCTTGATGTAAAAGATGTTAAGCAATAATTGGAAAAATACAATGGCAAAACTGAACAGACCTCACCAGTTAAATTTAACAAAACTTGTTTTGATATACAGGATATGGCAAAAGTAATGCCCTTGTTTTTTTTTAGCTGAGGGGGCTAGGAATGCATGCAGCATTTTAGTGGTTTTCTTGAGGGGGTGTACTGAAAAATCTTGCTCAAACCGAAAACAATTCCTTAATTTAAAACAAGCAATTCTAATAAATTTTCTGAAATTTATGTAGAAAAGTGTTGAAATTTAAATCTCGTGTCACATTTAGCCTCAGCCTGGACTGAGATGCTCGTACTAAGAAAGCCACTACTCTGATTCCTTGTAGATGACTGAATGACTTCCTTTTGTTACTATTGAAGTTATATCACTAAGCAGCCATCACATGACCTATGTGATTCAATCTCAACCAAAGGGAGATAATCGCCTTTTGCATCCCTATTTTGTTTTATATAAGCTAACTTTGTCTTATATTTACCATTTTGCCAGATTTTCAGCCAGATGTTTCTATATATATTTCTTCTTGTTACTATAAATGTCATATTTAGTGGATGATACATGTATTTGAGCAGACATCCCTATTTTTTAAACAGTTTAATTGACATATTTGAAAGTTCCCAATATGAGATGCACATTTCTTAAAACATTCGTAATTGAATCTTGCTTTGCTGTGAAATCTTTCATGGTTGAGTGGTTTAAGCCATATGTGGTTTGAAGTAAGTTTACCTAATAAGAAGGTGACACAAATTTGAACTCTGCTGAAAGGCATAATTTCTTTATTTCAGTTACACTGTTTAAAAAGTCTTCTTGATTATAAAGTCCTTTATATTGGGGAGCTCCATAAAGGTGGTTTTTAATGGCCAGTCCTCTGATTCCCATGAGATCAATGAAGACATTCTCCAAGGCTCTCCTACCCTTTCTTTCGACTAAATGTTAACTTTCTGACTAAGAACATTCTCATATCACTAGTAAATATATATGCAGACCATACTATGGTTTATGGATGCACCACCAAAAATCAAGATGACCAGAATCTGGCAGCTAATCTCTCTTCTGACCCTTGTTTGCTCAACTCAATGGGGGAAAGGACTGGCTTGTAACATTTTTTTACAAAAAAAACAGACACACTGTATGTTATCAAAACATGAAAAATTTATATGATGGTTTATTTTCATAATTTATTCATTTAAGCATTTGCTTATGATATCTGACCAAATGAAAAGGATTCTAATTTTTGTGTTGTGCATTTTAATGAAAAAATTGTAAAATAAATAAAAAACTAAGTTAAAGACCTTTTTATGTGCATATATGCCTACACACGCAAACACACACACATCTACATGCACAAAGATATGTCTAAACATACACACAGATGTCTACACACAGTTATTATGTCTACACACACATACATACATACATACAGATATGTCCACACAGACAAACGTCTACATACATACACACAAATATGGTCTCACACACAACATTGTTGCTCAAGTAGTAGTAACAGTAAAAAGCTATTTTACCAATTGTCAAATTTGGTAAGGAACAAGTTACAAAAATAGCAATCAAATGTCAGTGATACCATTATTTTCAAAAGGTGTATTCCAAGTGTTGGCATATAGACAACAGTAAGTATATATATATATATATATATATATATATATATAGCAAGAGAATACACTTATCTCAGCAGGTGAAGTGGGCACGTACCTGTTTGGTGTGTAAATCCAACATGGCCAACATTTTGAGGGAGTGATGATGTCATGTATGGTCACGAGAAGCAGCCATTTGTAATCGTCCTACTATGCATACATGACAAAACTCTTTAATACTATTGATCATTTGCATTTGTGATTGGAAATAGTAATAAATAGTGGATCACACAGACAGATGGAGAGGAAACTTGTAGAGTACAGAGCATTTTTTTGGGATCAGAGTGCATAGAAGTTTTGTTGTAAGAGTTGAAACCTGTTGATTCATTGTGCAACCTGTGCATTTATATCACTGGCTTTTGACTGTTGACACCCCTCCTCACCTAATGATTTAACTTCAAGCTATTTTGGCCATACAGTTGATACCATATCTCCAGGAACAGCTAAGGATGCTCAAAGGATTGATCTCATTGATGGCTGTTGCACAGCCCACCAAAGACTGAACCAACATGTGGATGCCTTCACTGCAAACACAGATGTGTGCACTGCAAAATTGAGGGAGTGGCACCAGTAGGGGGTTCAATAAATAAAATTCTGGACTTAATTTTACACTATCTGCAGATAAGAAAAATAAAGATGTTTTTACTTTGGGACTGCTTTCCTCTTGTGAGCCTGATTGGGCAATCCGCCTACAGACCCAGGAACAACCGTAACAGAGTTGTCAGATAATGATGACGATGATAGTAAGGAGACCAGGAATGAGGGTGATCCTATGGGAACTAACGCAATAGGAATGCAAACAGAAGAGCCATCTCCCCACCTATGAAGATGCAGTTCCTTGGAAAGACAGTTGTTCAAATCCGTCATCCCGTTATGAAAGGTCTATATCAATTAAATGAGTGTAGTGAGGAATTAAAGCAACAGGCATATCAGGCACTTGCCTGTTTGGTGTGTAAATCCAACATGGCTGATGTCGCGTAGGAAATGAATGGTTAAAGGAAAAAAATTAGCCCCATCCCACTACATGAATGATGATACTCTTTTTAATACTATCACCGGCTTTTGACCATTGACACCACCATCAGATTGTGATTTAACTATATAAACTTTACCATTAGTGGATACAATGTACTGGAGTTATGTCTGTTACATGTTTGCCAGTGATTGGTAAGACAGATTTTGTTTTTTGTTTTTCTGCAGTGCCTGCAGGAATAAAAATTAGCGAATGGTGTGCCAAGTTTCATTCAAAGGGATTTTCTCTTTTTACTAGTCTGCAGATTTGTTCATTTCATGCTAAATTCGTCTGAAAATTTTGATGCCAAGAAAGTCTGCCATGAATTTAAAAGACCTATTTGAAGGCTGAAAGAAATTTTGTCATTACGGCTTCCATGCCATTAACATCAAAGATGCAGTTTATTTATCATTTCACTTTGCAAAAAGTCATCAAGAGTACCAGCACTGCCAACATTGGAACACGGATACAAGAAAAGACAGCTTTTAATTGCATGTAATGAGGAAAAATATTTAAATCTAATTAAAAATGTCCTTTCCTAAAATATATATATATATTCATATATATATAATATGTTGATATATTTAAGTTTAATATTTGAGCAAAAATTAAACATATATATATATTTGAAAAAAATTTTTGAGTGATTCATTTATTTTTTTTTTTTTACAGTTTATCAACCTTTTGCAGATAATTTAAAGTCAAAAAATATTTTTAGATTGTAAGAAATTTTTTGGAGATAATAAAGATCTACTGAAACAAGTCCTACTAATTAACCCATAGCTGGGGGAGAAGAGATTGATTTACACCCTTCCCCAGGTTATTTGCGTATAAGTGAATATAATGAACCTGACTCTCCAATTTTCAATCCCTATCTGTTTTCCATTATACCACTTACAAAAATTCCCAATATGTTTAACATGTTACTGTGACTAACTGTGCAAAGCTGCATTCAATTTTCAAATACATAATAATACAATTTAGTTCTTAAAGCACACACATTTTTTTAATCATTTCACCCCAAGCAAAGCAATAAAGCCACTAAGATACAAGGGTTACGGAGTGTTAGAGAATATGAGAAAAAAATTTTAAGGAGAGAGAACAGAAAAAGAAGAGGAATTATGAACACAGAAGATAACTTGCATTTAAATTTTTTGGAGATCAAACAAGAAGCAAGAAGCCAGAAGAGAGTTCCACAAGTGAGAAGTGTGATAGAAGAAACTGTTAGCATAGAACTTACAGTTACATGGCTTCTTGCTTCCCAGTCAAGTTTTTAGCAAAACTGAGGGGTTAATGATGAAAACAAAATGTGTTTCTCATACAAAATATTCATAATTTAGCAATATGTATTGTGGACAGACAAATTATTAATTTTAACAGTAATAAGACTCTGTTCTCAGTTATTGAAATTTTATCTAATATTTAAAAAAAAAAAAAAAAAAAAATGAAAATTATCTCATTTTAAGGCGTTTTTTTAAAGAAATTGCAGGATGTTCCCAAAACTTTTGCTTCTAGTGTGTGTGTGTGTGCATATATAGGATGCAAGGGATAAATTGTCATCTAAATTAAGCAAAAGTGAAAATAACACTGACATCTCATTTTAACAGCTATATTTACCAAAATTACACAAAAATATTTTGAAGTACTAAAGTGCTGTATAAAACATTAATAGCATGTAGCTAAGATACAAATAAGCTTTTTATCTAATATGAAATTGATCAATATTAGTTAATTGTTCTCTCTGACTATTGAATACTTAGCTATGCCAAAACCAATGGATGGTCTTAACAGTTTAATCAACATTATGACAAATATGCAACAGAAATGGTGTTATATAACTATTTTGTAGCCTATTTCAGAGCTGGAATCATTAGGAATTTCTCAATTGTCAGTACAAGTCACTGTTCAAGACAACTAAAAAGTAAACATTTTAAATGCTGATTTTCAAAGCAAACAGACTTTGTCTACTTTAAAGATTCAGAAACACAACCTTCCTACGTTCTTCACTTTGTCATGTTAAACATTACAAGCAAAGCTAAATATTAAAAAAGGAAAGGCAAATTTTTTGTTGGTAACTAAACCTTTAATTTCTTTATTCAAGTTTGAGTTTGGCAACTAAGTCTCATTGTTAGGAAGCCAAAAATTTATATATTGTTTTTGAAATACTTCATGTAACAAAAATTTTTTAAAATCAAAAGTGTCTTCTTAAAATCCTAAACTTATTTCCTCTGTTCAATAAAATAAAATGTTAATTGTTTTGCTCAATGTTAAAGAAATTTTACATCATCTTTTACCAAAAAATAAACTGATTTTTATTGCAATTTTTTTTCTTTAAATTAAAATGTCTCTTAAGGGAAAATGATCTTGACTCTCTACAAATTCTTTTCTTTGATTACTAGAATTTGCAATAAATGGAAAACTGAAGATCCAGTTGGTGACAAAACATCAATTCAGTTAAAATATTCAAACATTTGGAACCATATTTTCTGCCAGTGCAAAATAGATTCTAAAACTTGCAGCTTCTCCAGTGAAAACAAATTTCTGGAATGGTTAATATATTTCTCAACTTACATTACATTAAAAGTTTTAGTGCAATGTCAATTATCACAAATCTTTCCATAAAGAATGATTTTTCTACAAATTCTTTTTTTGGCACCAGTAACTTCCTCCTTGCATCTTAGTGGCTTTATCACCTTACTCAAGATGATTTAAAAAGTTGTCCTTCTAAACTTATACACACATCCAAGTTTAGAGAGTACAGCTTATTTAAGCCATAGCTGGAAAGTAGAGTGGAAGAGATGAATTCTAACATAAAATGAATGTTTGTGCAAAAGTACACACAAATGACAAGTTTAAGCATTGAACTCCGATATACTTCAAATTTTTGTTGTGTTTTTTTTTTCTTTTTCCATAAAAAGTACATTCAAACAGTGACATATTTTTGGAAGTGCAAGTCATACATTTCTTTTTATCAAATATCAAAATATCATTAGATTCACTTACACACAAATACCCTTGGGAAATGTATGAATTCATCTCTTCTCCCCCTAGCTATGGGTTGAATAAGAGGACAGACTTTCAAAGGCAACAAATTAATGTAAATGGCTCCCAAGTCTTTCCAGATATTAATCTTTTTTTTCATCATTGTTCATCCAATACAAGGCCTAAATGCCACTCAAGGAAGACAGATACTGAATGGGGATATTTTAAGGAGCAACAGTTGCATATTATGAGTATATGTAGGATAGATAATACATCTCTCTTGACTTGAAGAGGTTGAGATTATAGTGATCAAGAATGCATCCCCTCACGAGTCCATTCCATATTGCAATAGTTCTGAGGGAAAAAGCTGTCTGAGTGTAACTTCCTCCTTACCAATGGAATATAAAGGGAATGAGGATGAACTGACTCAATGCATGAGGCATGAGCGTGTCCTAGCTGTGAAGGCCTTGATTGGTGGAACCAAAGAATGTCTGCCATAAAAATATTGGTAGAGTAGGGAAAAATTTGTAGTCCATCCTTACAAATAGATATATCTGACTGAGAAATAGGTAGAAAAGTTAACAAAACTCAATGGATGAAAGACTGATGAATGTTACAGAATGTCAAGGAGCAATTATCATGTAAAATAATAAATAACTTATTCAGATATTGTGCTAATGAAATACATGTTTCTGTCACATATATCTTTTGGATTTATTTACAAGTCTGAATTTACAGTAAACATTCAAAATGCCAAAAATAAAAAAGTATGTGTGTCATTCAGGATGTTTTCTTACCCTTGACACTGCTATTATTTAGTACTACTTTCACTCTCTCAGCAATATTTATTGTTGTAATCTAGGGAAGGTTACTGAATAGAATAATCAAACTTTTATTAGTAAAAATAAGAATACTTTAAGACAAAATTTGAAAACACATATAAGATTTGCCTGCAGCACGTAAATCCTAACTGTATTGAACATGAGTTAAGTGAATTTTGATATGAATCTCCAACTGTGAACTATATTTTCTATATATATTATATATATATGATGTTATTGGAAAGTGCTCAATATCAGTGATAAGTTGACATATTCAGTTGTATGGATATGAGTTTGTATCCTGAATTTTATGAGAAGTTAAAGTGATCATTTGACATCAATTTGTCTGATGATTGCAAAAAGTGTATTGTGCCCTAGGGTTAAGGAAATTCATATCCATAGACAAATGAAGGTAAAATTTTTTTTAAATGTTATTTTATATATATTCATTTTTGTATCTATGAAAGTTTTTGTAGAGGCAAAAAAAGTGCTTGGCTGCAATGATCTCTGTGCTTGAGCAGTTTAAAGCATGCTATGTCAGACGGTGGTTTCTCCTAAAAAGGAGACACTTTTAGAATTTTGAACCCTGGAAGAGAAACATTTTCTTTATTAAGTTTTATTAAGTGCAGACTGGTAAGTGTAATAAGGTCCCTGTTTAAAAAAAGGTATCTACTAAACACATATATCCACTAAAAAAAATAACATTTGTATATAATATAAATTGATATATATATATATATATATATAAATATATATATATATATAATAATATATACAATATATATATATATATATATAATATAATATAATATATTGATAATATATATATATATATATATATATATAATATAATATATATATATATAATATATATATTATATATATATATATATATATATATATATAAACAAATATATACTATATATATATAATATAATATATAAAAATATATAAAATTATATATATATATATATATATAATATATATAATATAATATATAATATCTATATATATACTATATACATATATAAATATAATATATATATAATATATATATATAATAAATAAAATATATATATAAAATATAATATATATATATATAAATATAAATATATATAATAAATATAATATAATATATATATATATATATATATATATATATATATAATATAATATATATAAATAATATATATATAATATAAATATATATATATATATAAAATATATATAAATTATATATATATAATATATATAATATATATATATATATATATATATATATAATATAATATATATATATATATAATAATATATATATTATATTCCCATAGATATATATATTATTATAATATATATATATTTAAAACAAACTAATATATATATAAAATATATATATATATATATATAATATATATATATATAATATAACTGATAAGAAAATCAAAAATGCTGATGGAACCAACAGTAATGATTTACAAAACTTAAAACCCTTATCAAGATAAAGTCTAACAAAAACAACAATAGTGAAAAAAGAGAGAGAATAAAGGCCTAAAGACAAAACTCCTAAGAAGTAAAGTGCTTTTTATTTCTACAGACCAAAAAATGCTTAACAATGAAAGGATGGCTCGAGTCATAACCTGAGTTTAAGGCTCATGTGATCTTCAGATGACTTGAAGCATTCAACATGCACACTGCATCTTATGCATGCGGATTACATTACTAAAAAAAAAAAAAAAAAATCACTATCTCCTCCAATAGTGAAGAAAAAACATTATATTCACTAAAAAATTAGGTGAGAGAAAAATAAGACAGTATATATAAATATATATATGTAGGAGAAGCAAGTACCTATATGTGAGAACATTACTGTATAAGGTATGTCTGTGTAGGTGCATAAGTTAGTGTACAAGAACTGTGTGCATGTGTGTGTGTGCATTTCTTCTCAAGAATTCTTGGACTTGCCTGCTTATACTGTTACAAGGATTGTTACGGCTAGCAGACTTTCTAACTGGTCCTATTTAGTTTCAAGTATATTTATATCTATTATTAGACCTAAATAGTTTTTCATGGTATGTAAAGGGGGGAAATTCATTTTGCTCACATGAGGGTTTAAAAGAACAATCTTGTTTGCCATAACATTTAATAACCAAATAACAAATTTATAAACTTGAGTTTAAGTCTATATATCTAAGAATTAAAAAAAAGAAACTAAAAAAAAAAACATTGTGTTCAAAAGTAACAAGCTTAGATAGTAGTATCATATCAAATTCTGTTCTAGTTCATTACATTCACTAATGTGCAAATACTCTTAGGAAAGGTATGAATCCATCTCTTCTACCCACAGCTATGGGTTAAATAGAAAAATAGACTATGTTCTATACTTGAATAGTTTAAGAAGAGAATGCTACATAACAATATCTGATGAGTATTTTAAAAGAACAATTGATTAACTACTCTCATTATACTGGCCTTATAAAGACAGAAGATGTTTAACCTATTCTATTTGTTGAATTCTTTTAATGCCTATCTTCATTTGAATATAAACATGAAAAATTTCTCTCAGAATTCAAAGCCAAAAATGACGGTTTGCATTATTTCATTCATTCAAGTTAACTTGGACATTCATGAGGCTATCACGGCAACCATAATGGTCCTGCCACAAGGTCAGGAGGTAATTCTGGTCAATGTAGGTGGTTGCTAGTCTTGACCCATGGCTAGGTGTTAAGAACAGTATATCACTCGCAAGTTCTTGTTATCTCCAGCTATCCTCTACCATTAGCTGACCAGTCTTCATGTTCCAATCTCAATAGATTCCAAAAGTGTTTCTGTGCCCTTGTGGGTGATTAAATATCTCCCACTCTGCAAATCCTTTCCCACTAAAGAAACACTGTGAGCCTCTCATTGTTTCATCACTATTTCCATGGAAAATGTTTAGATGAACCATATTTCTTAGTTCTAACCTTCACAGCTAAGACCTACCATGCAACACACATTGTAGCAAGCCACCCTCAAATATTTTTTTTTTAAACATTGCTATTACTTTTCAGGGGCATGGTGGAGTAATGAATAGTGGCTTGGATTGAGGAATCAGAAGGCCAAGAATTAATTCCATTTGAATCCATTACATTCACTTACGTGCTAACCACTTGAAAGGTATGAATCCTCTTCTTCCACCAGCGCCATGGAAAATAACAGGACAGACTGGGTTTTCTTGTGTAGCACAGAAAATAGCGGCTTACTGCTGGAAAAAATCTACCTCGTCGATGGTTGTCCGAAAAAGATACATGATTACTAAACATCTAAACATAACACATAACTGACTGATTACTTTTCTTGTGAAAGATGGGGGAGTAGTTTCCTGTTTGGAATTAAATCGTCCTTCTCCTTGACAGAGGTTAGAGAGCCCTATGTGCTCTGTTATTTAACCTGTACTGAGAGGAGGAATGAGAGTTTCTTGTCTTACCAATACATAATCGTTTAGTAACTGATATTTATTTTTTCAAATTTTCAGTTTGCCATGGATCATAAAAAAGATCTAAGCTTTTTTCACCTCAAGCAAGACAATAAAGCCACTAAGATGCAAGCAGTTACTAAGGGTGAGAGAATAGGAGAAAATAAACAAACAAACAAAATACTATTAAAAAGCAAGAACAATAATTGTGGCATTGACACCCTCTCAATACCTAATCAATTGTTTCAATTTAATGTTATATTATCCTCAAAACAACATTAATCTCAAGCAATGCTCACTAATAAGATCTTGTGCCAGACTATGCTAAACTGAGTAAATAACTAATAGAGGCAAATGTAGTTTCACAGACTATTTGCAACTATGAGTTTGAGCCTGATTTCTTCATTATTACTGCCTTGTGTCAAACTAAGCCAAGATTAAATATATATATATGAATCATAATAGCAGTAACAGCCACAGTTATAACCAACAAGTAATCTTACAGGCTATTCACAAGTATAGTGTGTGTAATCTTGATTGAGTACTATCATTATACTAGCCTTGTGTCAGACTAAGATGATGTCACTATTTTTACTTATAACTTCAAAGTATTCACATTTAGTGTTTATAATTTTATGTGTGCAAAGAGAGAGAAAGAGAAGAAAGCAAGCAAGAGCATGTGTGAACATATGAATGAACTACCAACCCTAAAGAAGTACATCAGAGAACATATTACTTCTGAGAGAAAAAGAAGACCACGCCCCATCTGCCAATGAAGAATGAATAGCAGAACTTGATCTGAATAAATAAAAACCTAAACAATTGCAATGAAATAAGTTCTTTCAAAAAATGTCAGGGCTTTTTTTTTCTGGTTCATTAACCGTATCTGTGTCAAAATTTTCCAGGCATTTCATTAAACTGAAATATACCTATTCTATCCCTGGTAAGATAACGAGACACCCCAACAGGTACCAATGGCTGAAACCCACAACTAAATACAGACAAATAAGTATTGTTTATGAACAAAGTCGGAGGAATAGTGTTTTTTTTTTTGTTTTACTTTATTTTACTTGAATAGTAAAGAAGAGGATGCTACATTACAATATCTGATGAGGATTTTAAGAGAACAATTGATTAACTACTCTCATTATACTGGCCTTATGTTGGACTAATATAATTTCAAAATATTCACATTTAGCACTTACAATCTTATATGTGCAATGAGGGAGAAAAAAAAGAAAGAGAGAGAGAGATATCTGATAAGGATGTTAAGAGAACAACTTCACAGGTGTGTATGGAGTCAGGTAGGAAGAGAACTAGGTAAACACAAAACGTTCCAGAAACATCTTCTGCAATATGTTAGAAAAGTCTGAGAATTGCCTTTGAAGTTCATTCAGCTGTTTATTGCATGTGCAAACAGTCAACTGTTGTATATTGTTTAGAAGTTTAAAAAAAATACAACATAAAAAAGTCATTTTTGGACAAGAAAATAAAAAATGAATTCATTATGAGAATCTAAATGGAAAAAAAAAATGGCTGGATCCAAGATAGCATTCAACCTGAATGGAATCTTGTGTTTGGTAGTGTAGTGAATTTATGTCACAATAGCAGCAGTTGGTTGGTTGACTGTTTTTACTTAGCAGCATATCAACCTTTATAGGTTATTTAATCCCAAAATCTAAATATTTTTACACAATTTTATTTTGTTGGGATAACAATTGTTTTAGTGATACAAATCTTACTAATTAACCCATACCAGGGGGGAGAATAGGTGGATTCATAAATTTCCCAAGGTTTTTGCACATAAGTGAATATAATGAGCCCAAATGAAGTTGGAACTTGTCTCTGTGATTAACAATTATCTTTTACACCACCTTCATATGAGCTTACAGTACTTGGTATTCCTAATCGGTCACCTATCTAGGTACTAACCAGACTCAATGTTGCTTAACTTCAGTGATCATATGGGAACCAGTATTTCAATGTGATGTGGCTGTAAGCCACAATAGCAATAAGAGACAGATGATGAACTGTAGTGGATATATGTAATAACAGCATCAGAAAACTGACATTCTTAAAGACCCAGATGTTTCAAAAGAAACCCTCAAATCTTTTTAATTGCCTCTGCATAGAATCACAGACCCTATTGAGGAAGCACTCCTCTTCAGCTGGTCAATAAGTAGGACTTTTATTTGTTTAAAAATATAGACATTTAGACAGTTGTTAACAAAATGAATATCCTTTTCACAGCGACACTGTTATTATTTTTATCTTAGTGAATAAAACTTTTATAAAATTTCAACCCATCCTGTATTTGCTTTTGTTCTATATCTTTTTTTAAAAACATTTTTGATGGTATTGATCTCTCCTTAGAAGACTTCAGTGGAATCCAAAGAGATTTCTTTGTTATGAACTGCTTGAAACTGAATACAAACTCTAATTGCACAATACAGCAGTGAGCAATTGGCTCATTTGAAAAATTCAGTGGAAGAGAAAAGGCCTTTCTCTTGGTAGGGAAAACAATTGTTGATTTCATGGTACGATAATGTCTGTCCTCATACTGCAAATACAACACTACTAATGATTTGTTGGGCTCCTGCATATTCTCCAGATCTGATATCTTTACACATTATTCAAGTAGAAGATATAAAATGAACTTAATTCAAAATAAGCTGGAACTGTCTTTTATGATGAAATACACTATTTAGCTGAAAGATGGCATTAGGTTATAAAAAAAAGGCAAGGAAAATAGTTAGGCTGCTAAATAACAATGGTATGACTTTAATTTCTTTTTGTAATTTGTAAGAAAAAAAGAAATTTTGTACCAACCTTTATATATATATATATATATATATAAATAAGGTTGCTTGGTACAAAGTTTCTTTTGTATACATATAGATATATCTATGTATGTATGTATGTATGCAAAATGTTTGCATGCAAAAAAATATTTAATAGCTAATATAGAATCTGGCTGATACTCACATGTGGACAATAAAGAAAAAAAAATCACAAGTTCTCCATATTTAAGGTGTAAAATATTCTTCATTTTTGAGTGTGAAACTGGAATTTCCTCAAGTTTCATTTTTTATTCTTCATTTGTTCTTATATTTTTTAATCTGTACATTGTATCAAGCACTTTTAATTGAATGACTTTATAGTAGTTGTAATTTTAACTAACTATATAATATATATATATATATATATACACACATATATATATATATATATATATATATATATATATATATATATATATATATATAAATAATTTAAAAGGATGAGCAGTTCTAAAAGAGTCTGTCTTAAAGTTGCTTACTTTCTTCAGTACTTGATGCCATAAAAATAGCAGAGCTTTAATATATTAATGTAGGCAGTGACTAACCACATGAAACTAGCAGTTGTGGTCAGTCACTGCATACCAGAAATTTTACTTTTATATATATATATATATATATATATATATATATAAGGGAGATATATGATCCCTCTGTCCACATTTTCTATATCAATAAATGGTCTATCTCCAATGCTAAACACAACTTAAAAATATAAAATATAATATATATATATATATATATATATATATATATACATATATATATATTACACATATATATATTACATATATATACACTATTTGCTAGCAGCTTATAAATTTGTCAGTGCAACACTCACCACAAGTCATTAGCTATCAGCCTTCCATCCATAATGCACACATAATGAACACATGTGAGTATGTTTTTATGGTGAAATGGTTAGAAAACTGGTTTCACAGACAATGATAAAGTTCCATCACTCACTGGGTGTTCTATACCTGTGGCTAATTTTTTTTTTTGCTTTCTTTTTTTCTTCCTTTTCTTTCAAGTGACATGTTCTTTTAGATGCTAGGTGATTACGTCTTTCTACAGATTCCTCTCCTGCCATGATTTCTCAGTAAAAAGAGTGGAATGGTTTCTTGTTGCCTTATCTATGGTTTGGTATTTAGAATTTTCCTTCTCCAAGACTGGTTGCACCCTAGCCCAGTGAGCATAGTCTACCTTAGTGTTTAGCTGGTTCGAGAAGAGAACTATACAAGGCCCAAGAGCCACTCAAGGTAGAGAGTTAATGAATAAAGTTTTTGTACGGACATAAGAGGAAAAAGTAAGAAATGCAGGTTATGAGGATATGTGGGAAAGATAAAGGCTAATCCTAGATGCCAAGAGGCTAAAATTGCAGTAATGGGGGAAGCATCATCTCAGGAGTCTGTTCAATAAAGTAGCAAGAAACAAGAAGTGGGGAAAAAGCTGTCCAAATGGAACTTTCTCCTTGCCAATGGAATGCATAGGGAATGGGGATGATTCATCCGAGTGTACATCTTAGCTGTAAAAGGTGTGAACTGGTGAAAATAAGGAATGTAACTCATCTAAAAATTTGCCACTGAAATAGCAATGGAGTCTCCCCCTGCTTGTGAAATTTCATAGTAGAGGGAAAATAATTCATCACCAATAAGACACAATTTTAATTTTTTTACTTTTATTTGAGGACTAAGTGTTCCAGCCAAATATGGTATATATACTCCATTTTTGGGATCATATAACTATTGTAAAGATTGGTGAGTAATGGATAGTGGCTTGGATCAAGGAAATCAGATACCAAGTTTGAATTCCAGTCAAATCCATTACATTCACTTGCAGTGCTAATACCCTTGGGAAAGGTATGAATCCTCTTTTCTCCTCCAGCTATGGGTTCTATAGCCCTGACAGGCAACTTCTATAGAAGGACAACTGGTCTAAAACAGAAAGAAATGGCAACCTACTGCAAAAAAAATGCACTAGGTTTCTGTATTTTAAGATTCATATACGAAGCTATACATTATTGCAAATTCATTTGCTGTTGTTAGCTGTTGGTTAGCAGAACTGTTCTGCATTTTTTGTTAAATTACAAATGTAACCATATGATCTATTCTATATACTTTCCACCTCCTGTGTGTCCTGACATATGACATTAAACTACATCTGTATCCTGGGTAAAACAGACAGCCTGCAACAACAGTACAGACATTTGACTACATCCAACAGCAAACACTGTGATAGGATATATATATATATATATATATATATATATATATATATATTCCCAGGTCCACTGTGATCAAGAATAGCACCTGTTACAATCCCAGTTCTTGGGCAACAGAAAAATTGCTCAGTAAAACATTTGAAAAAAATATTATTATTAAAATATTTTTTGATTATAATAGATTACAATAAAAACATTTTTACATCCAACAAAAAAAATTATGTTTCAGACATAAAAATGGTGTCATATATAAATATATATAAAATGAGGTTGAATTGAGCTGTTAAATGAAACCATCTGAACCAAAATAGGTCAAAGGAATTTAACAAAACATTAGTTTTACCACAATCTACAAAATTAAAATGCAATGTAACTTGTCATCTGTCTCCTTAAATGCTAAGCTCATTTTTAATTTCCTTTCTGATTTCAATAATGAGCCTTAATAAATTGACATTCTAGTGGCATTATTGTTTTGCTTTTGTTTTGAGAGCATTAATAAATTAGAACACTATTGACTTAATTGTTAAACGAAAAAAAAATTTTTTGGAACTGGATAAAAATTTTATTGATGCCTGGAAATTTTTTTTTAAATGAAGAATAATATAAGGAATTTTCATAACTTAATGGAAGAAAAAACAAATGTATTTACATAACAGATATTTATTTTTTTAATGTAATGCAAAACAATGCCTGGATTTGTTTGCTTGTTTTTTAATATATATTTTATTATATATATATATATATATATATATATGTATATGTATATTTAAAAATTTCAGTGAATGTATTTTTCAATGCAAAATTTATACAATCCTTCCTTTTACTCAGAAATATATTTGCAGATATAAAACAAAAAATTTCACATACCAGTGGGTATATTTATATGCAAATATATATTTTTTCATGAGTAGGATATGGAGAAAAATTCAAGAAAGACTTTTTTTTGCTTTTTATAGAAAGGTGAGAGAGGGGATCTGAATAATGGCAGATGTAAAACATCTTTGGATAGCAATTCTATTAAAGAATCTCTCATTCTCACTCCATCAAAGAGTGTAATTTGATAACAAAGAAGAAAAGATGGTAGATAGGGTGGGGGACTGACCTAGAATTAGAAAACGATAGATTATCGATAAGAAAAGCAGAGATTGGTTTTTTTTTAAGGCAAAAAATATATTCCAAACTTCACACTTAGATGGGCAAACAGACAGATAGCAAAAGTTCCTTGAACACCTGAGACTCTGTCCTTATAAAAATAAACAAAATAATAAATAAATAAATCTCATCAAAACTTTGCAAATTTTTTTTTTTTTTTTAACTATCTGAAAACAGTTCTTTTTTGGGGGGGGATAAATCTATTTACAAAAAAAAAAACATGAGAGAAGGATCAAATGAGGCAAATTTGAACAACTCAGATTTATAGTTAAAGTCCAGAATAGTTTCTTGTTTGGTTTTTTATTTTTCTTTGCTTAGGGAACTCAAAAAAAACAAAAAACAAACTGTGCTACACTTGATTTTTAGATACTGTTCAAACAGAGGCAAAGTTTTAATAGCATACATTTTGAAGTGTCAAAAAATACATTCAGTTTCCTTCATCTGATCTTTTTTCTCTGGACAGTTAAAATATAAATTTTCTAGAAATAGGTTGCTAATTGATGATTTAAGACATGCCAATCCTTCTTGGATTATTTAATGTCAAATTTTTAATAGGGGCACACAATGAAGATCAAATTTACTACTCAATAAGAATAGACAACCAAACTAGGCTTATTATAATTACCCTAAAACTCCTCAAGACACCTGGAAATGACCAATTTTTTTTAAATGTTTTCTCGAATGATTTACTACGTAAATGTTTTCAAAATGACTTTACTATTTGTAAATGATTTTTTTGCATAAACTTTATTCTATCAATAATGCATTTTTGCAAATTATGAATTTA